CACAGATTTATTATATATTAATATTATGTAAGCCAGGGAATTGAGAATTTTTCTAAAAGTATTAGGAGATATGTCAACATGAAAACTGTTTTCATTGGTTTCTGCTGAAAAAGAAAGAGAAATTTAATGTACCGTCTTTTCCTGATATAGGTTTAAAAAGAAAAAGAAAAGAAAACCAACAAAAAGTCCTGTAAAGATTTAATCTCATCTGGTTTTAATTACAGTACAAATTTTTCAGAACAGCATTATTGAAATATTAAAATCAAATTGTGTAAACGTAACAGCTGAAATCCAAACAATAACTGGAAGACCTGGAAGTGCAGGTACACTTTGGGCAAACTCTGTCTTTTCAGTTTTTTCAGTCTGCAGTAGTATTTCCAGTATACATGGGATCTTGATGTTCAAAACTGCATAAAATGTGTTAACTGTATTATCTTTTGAGAGTGTGAAAAAAGGATTTGATGACATTCCTTATTTGGAATGTAATAACTGCAAAAGTGGTAGTCGCATCTGTTTTTTGTGTGCGCATATAGGCATTTGTTATAGCAGCTTGGAGATATTTATAGCATTTTCAGTTATTTAGGAAGTTCATAGTTACTAAAATAGAATAAGCCACCTTGTTTTTTAGTAAATGTTTGGCTGATTTGAAGATGTTATGCCAAGATATGTTCCTGGACATTGTTATCTTAAATTTTTGTTTTGAATAATCTAAACAGTTACTTTAACTGTCAGACATCCCTTGGCCACTGCAGAGTGTAGCACCGCTAGCACTCGCCAAATGTCCGACTTTCAGGCTCAGGCTGTTTGATTTATCAGGTGGCAGAATTTATTCCTATCTGTTGTTCTCCCTTAAAGATAAGTAGCCAGAACAGTGTTCAACATGAGCGCACTGTAAAGCAAAAATGTTTTTATGTGAGTGGCTCCACTCACATAAAGTGTGAACTACTTCTCATGAGTGGTTCACTTTTCTTATTAAGGGAGGGATTTGTTTATTGTCACCTGGAAGAGCTAGCAATTAAAATTAAGTAAGTTTGTTCTGGCACATTTTGTTTATTAATAATTTAATTTATTTGTTTGCATTACTGAAAGAACTCTTAAAATAGTTAAGATACCCTCTCAAAATTAAGTTAATTATTGATGCAGTATAGGCATACAATACCTACCTTGTATAGGTATATGAAATGATCAGCCTTTTAATATTCCAATAAGTGGACTGGAATACAAAATAACTGACTTCGCAGTGACTAAGATGAGAATGACCAAAATGCCGTTTCTTCTTCCAGCAGCGGGTGGTTTCTGTGAAAGCTTTTGATTCACAGAAGTAGCACATCTTTTGTTGTGGGTGATGGCAATATAGATCTTGAAAACTGATTGTTTCCTTTTCACACTTCTGTTTTTACAGGATGTGCTTAGGTGTGACAAGTACAGACTGTTGAGCAGTTTTTTGCATCCTGAGAACAGGAAATACCAATTTATAGTGCAGGGAATGATGAGGCACAGAAAACTTAATTCATATTGTAATTATACCTTTGTCCGGGTGCTTTATAGTGTTAATTGAGAAATAAACTCATTTTTATAATCACAGCTTCCCTTGGGAATTTGGAGTTACACCTGCTTCTCAACTTGTAAGCCACTCAGTCTGTGGAAGTATCTCACAAGGTTGTGTGTAGCTATTTGTAAACCTTTACTGATACCTTTTCAGACTTACCATGGGCCACAGTCCCATAAATACTTTTTTGCTCAGGTGCATGTACAATTTCCATGTTAATACTCGAGTTCCTCTTCAGACACTATGTGCATATGCTGTGAATGTGAAAAAAGATGGCATGAGACTTCTGCTGGTTTATCTCTGTGTATAGATGTCTGAAAACAGAAAGAAATTTCTTTGTTGTTCTGCTAATCAAAGCTGTTGTTAGTCTCAAGAAATAAAGTTAGTGGAAGGGTAGGTTTGGCTAAACCAAAAATAATGAATGTTTCAGTTTTATCAAAGAAATAAAGCTGAAAGAACTGCAGGATAAAATGAGTATAAAGGAAATAAGTTTGATACCCTAGAGGCTTTTCTGTGGCAAGCATGAAAAAAGGGAGGGAATTGGCAGAAATGGGTAAGGAAAGAGATATAATGTGGAATATAAAAGTATGCTTAAAAATTATTATGAAATCTCACTTTGACAACAGAAAATTATAACAAAGATGTCAGGCATCAAAATGAGAGATTGTGTCTGTTTAGGAAATTTAAGTGGTACCAAACAAATGAGCATTTTGAGAATGATTGAAATGATCTTTGTAGAACCTTGCTGTCATTTGAGTACTTTCAGTACATTTCTTTCTGTGTAAATAAACTATTTTCATATTTGTGTTACCAGTGTTAATGTGGTCTGTTAGATGTTTTAAACTGTAATTGCCTTCAATCTGTATGTTACTGTTAAAGTAAATTCCCTGAATTGTATTGACTCGGATATGGCAGCCGTTGAAGTGGCATTTGTGAAGACCAGTGAGAGCTGGAAATAATGGCACAAGTCGAAGTGGGAAGCCAGTCCATGATCTTAATAAATTGCATAGACAACATAGTTCTTTTAATGAGTTTCTAGATTTTTTTCATTAATTTAGTTAACTTTATAGAGTCATTTTATTGGAAAAGGCATTGTATATTTGACTAAATAGCAATTCAAGATGGTTAGATATTGGTGATTAAGAACCAAAGAGAATTTTAATGTTTCCTAAAGAGGAAAAACAGGAAATCTTTTCCTGGTGGGTTGTGGTTTATTTTGTTGGGTTTTGTTCTTTTTTTCTGTTTAAAGTAGTCTCATATTTTTTTTTTAACAATTATTCCTCATATTTTTTAGGGGATTAGCCATGAAAATAAACATCTGGAATAAGTCTCTTGTTTCTGATTTATGAATGGCATGAGGGAAACCTCTCTTACTTTTATATATATTGCAGTATTGTATTTTTTGTTTGGTTATGGGTTTTTTGTCATAGCACTATTCTTTTCACAGAGGTGGATTTTCTTTTTCTTTTTTTTTCCAGAACCCTGTCAAGAAAATTCCAGATTCTCATGAAATTACACTCCAACATGGGACAAAAACAGTAAGTGATAACACATTTTCAACACTTGCGTTTTTCTAGAACTGAGCCAGAAGTAAACAAATAGTTATTGTCAACTGAAGTTCTAGAAGCTAATTCTTTTTCTTAATTCGTTATTTTTTTCTAGCTCTTATTGCAAAGAAAAGTATGTTCTAGGACTGCCTCTTTGCTTTCTTGTAATTACCCAAATGTGACTCCATTTTGACTCAATTATAGTCTAACTTTTTTCTTCCTTTTTGTCGAATATACTCTCTACAATTGTTAGAGTTCTTCTTCTAACCTGATCTAGACATAGGTCTAATCTATCCCTTTCTTTGACTAGTCATGGATTTCAAAGAGAATGTTACTGCTGAGGTTTCTAAGACTTATTTGTACCTAATTTGTACAGGTCTCTTTCATTGTCCTTGAATCTTTAGATGCCTTTTAAACACTATTCTCAATTTCTTGAAACCTTCTTCTTCCTTGTCTTTGACTGCATCATTTCTAGGTTTCACCTCCAATATTGCTCTTTCACTTTCTTTTAAAGAATTAATGTCTGATTTACCACTATAATTTCTTTGTTCTCAGTATTTTTATCTCTGGGTAATCTCATCTTCCAACACAAATTCGACTGCTTGTGTGTGCTGATTGATCAAAAATCCATTTTTATAGAATATTTTCTGGCCATGGACAGCCCTGAATCTATTCCTGAATCCTTTCCCTATATTCTTCTTTGGTCATTAAAAAAGATGATACTGCTGTTTTATCCTCTTCGTTGGACCATGCTGTAGGCTTCAGTGAGGAAAGAATAATAGAATTTCTTTTGTTTTTATTATATCCCTGTGAAAGCACTGTCAGCTAGTTAATAGAATTCTCACTTATAACATTCCTGAGAATTTATTAGGAGAGGGGGGTGAAAAAAGAAAGTAAAATGAAACAAAATATAAATTGAGAAACACATTTTTTCATTAGGTTTTAAGCAATCTAAGGAAATCTAATAACAATCTAATAATTTTCCTTTATTGGATTTTTAAGAAAATGTATGGATTCATTTTCTGTTTATGTAATTAATATAATAATACATGCAATGATCAATAATTCAGCAATATTAAATAAATAATAAATTTATGAAATTAACATAGTTATCAAATTAAAACATGAAATATAAATAATTTATGAGTTTAAAATTTGAATTTTTAAAAATTTTATCAGACATTTAAAAGGAATTTTCTGGGGGTTTAAACTCAACAGTAAAGATAATAAATTTTCTTAATAAGCTTTCAGAAATAGTTATTTTCAGAAGTGTCTATTCATTAATCTGGGATCAAACTTTGTGGTCTCTTTTGGAGTGTGGAGAGGTGATAGGCTTACCTATTTGTTCTATCAAGCGCTAGACATACAAACATTGAGGTAGGAAAGCAAAGAAGTAATATTTGGACTAGATGATCTTTCGAGGTCCCTTCCAATCCCTAACATTCTGTGATAAGTGTGTTATAAATGGAAATAGAAAGTACTCTTTTAAAAATTGTAAAAGATGCATTACATTACACTAATCAAGAGTGGATTTTTATGTACACATGTGTATAACTTCTTTGTGTTATAATTTCTATGCATGCTAGGATTTGCATAGTGGTGTACCAGTGCAAGCCAGTTTCCACTCTACATGTGACAGTAATTGCTTCTGCAGTATGTTTCTTGAATACATTTCCTAAAAAATAAAAAATAAAAAAAAAAAAAATATGTAAAATTTTAGAAATTATTTTTCTCTATATTAAACCAGTAAATCTTTTGATGGATTCTTAAAGCATAAACTTATGTTATTTCTAACTAAAAGACTTTGTAAAGTGGAAGTTACAGTTTTGGAAGACTTCTGAGGTATTTTGGCTGCATGGGAATGCAGCTGTCATCACCTAGAGCAGAGGTGAATTACAACGTGGGTATATATACCACAGTTGGAATAGACTGGATGCAGTGAGTGAAACATATTGTTGGAAAAAACAGCTCTTCTGTAGAAGAACTATCTTTTTGTTTTATTTGTATGTTTTAGAATAATGAAACTACTTACCTGTGTCATTACATAGATATAAGAGTGTGAGCAACTTCCTATCTTGATATCGGTGTTTCACCCCAATGTTTTAAAATAAAGTCTTATAATTTTGTTCACAGTGTACTGTATTTCAGCTAAACTGAAATACATACATATCCCATCTGTACCTCTTCAATCTAATGAACTTGGGTTTGATGATGACTCTATTCCTGTGCAGCTGAAAAGGCTCAGAAAAGATTTCCCAAGCTGGAGAGTCTTTCCAGAAACCTGATTAATTTTTTTGTTGCCTTGCTTGTACAGTATAATAGGAGTTACTGTTCACAATGAAACTTCAGAGATACTTTTAAAAAAAACAAATTTTTTTTTTTCCTCCTGATACTTTAAGATACATAGGTGGTTATGAGAAAAATACGTAATCAGAGGTATTCAAAACGGTGTGCTTTCTAATGTCTCACATCACAGCTGCTCCTTCCTGGAGTAGCTATTGTAGAATAGAACACTTGAGTATTAAGTGAATGCATGATTAATCTGGAGATGCCCAGTTTTTCTGCATGTTACAATGAATGAAATTAATGGCATTCAAAATTTGCATTTAAATGGTAAAAAGGGCTTTTTTTTTTAAAACATGTAAGAGGTTGCATCTGTTTCATTTGAAAATAAAATATGTCATAGTGACATAATCACTAAGTGGAGTTTAATTCGTTCTTAGGGATAGCACAAAGCAGTACATTTAAATGTTTGATTCGAGGAAGTTAAAAGAAAAATTAAGAAGCCCATACTCTTTCATATAAGGAAACCTTATTTTTAGCAAAACAAATTGTCCATCTTAAAGAATAAATTCCATTCATAACTGCTGTTTTTATTGGAACATTTATTTTATGTAAGTTACTTTTTCAAAAGGGCATGAAAAAGGAACTGTCTCATGCTAAATTCAATTTTTTAAACAGTGTTTTGTGTGGGAACTATTCAACAGTTTATATAACTTTTAAAAGTCTCCATAACACAGTGTATATACTAAATCTTTTTAAAAAAATACAGTAGTAGACTGATACATCTTTGAGACAAGTTCTTTTTTGGTGGTACTTCTATGTGTCTGCATTAAAAGCACTGTCAGTACTTTTCATGTATACATATAAATAAGATACATGCAGATGAGCATCCTTATATGCAAATTATTGTAATTTTCATACATTAGTATCTGGAATGTTTAGTATAGGTTTAGGCATCTGAAAGTAATTGGCGTGATTTTTTAAATTTTTTTTTTTGTTTATATTGGCTTTGCTAGCCTATAGCCATGACATTATTCTCAAGTGTCATGTTTCACTCAGAAATTAAAGCTTTTCCTTCTTTTATTGTGTATAAAGGTTTTTTTTGTCCATTGGTTAGAAATAATCCTCTGGTTAGAGTCTACATTTTACCCATGGTCTGCCTAACCAAATACCTAATAGAGGTTAAATTGTGTTCTAGGGGTTAAAACCTAAGCATGAATTCCGTATGAGTTTTATCTTCTCATGAAAACTTTTAAAGTCATTTTAAAATTTCAGGTCAGGTGCAATTTTGAGTAATTCTAAAAATACTCTTTTTTACAGTTTTTGACATAACTTTTCAACGCTATGTTATGCAGATGTCTTAATTTTGGAGAGTTAATCTCTTTACTTGACTTACAAGTTAATGTAGCATATTGTCTAGCTAATCATTTTTTAATACTTGAGATCATGATAGTATATAATATTTTCACAAATGAGAAAAGAGAAGAAATAGTTTTGAAGGTAAATGTTTAATCAATGAGATACTTTCTGTTACTCTCACTTCTCCTCATGGTGATTTGAATACTACTATAATAAAGTTCTTCAAATAGAAAATGAAAATGGGATTTTCCATAAAAATCCCATTTTAATCAACCTTTGATAACAAATGAGAGAATGGGCACTAAGCATTCTTTCCTCAAAGTTCTGAGTAGCTTTAAGCGGCTAGTTTTGTATATAAAACAAATAGGTTTTGTTAAGGTTTTTTTGAGTTTTTTAATTAAATTAAGTTTATACTTTTTTTCCTTTTCTTTTTTTCAGAAGATAAATTTAACCAAACAACGTATGTACCCACATGAACTGTCTTGAATAACCTCGCGCAAATACGCGAGGTAAACTAACTTTTCTTAGCTGTCTTCAGTGGTCTATTCAGATTATGTAATTTTGATTTCCGTTCTCCCTACCTCTCCCAAATTACTCAGCTTTATACAGGGTAGTGAAAATTCAAAAACAAAATACAGCTGATGTATTTTAGAAAGAAACTAGCACACAGATTTTATTTTTTTTTTTTTTTATTTTTTTACTTTAGTAGTATTTTATATTTTGGTGACACCTGAAGAACTGTAGGGGAAAAAATAATAAAAAACTTGAATTATCTTAAATTCTTTTTTTTTTTCTTTTTTTTTGTGCTGTATAGGTTTCTGCTTTGGGGTTGGATCCTTCTGGTGCCCGTTTGATAACTGGCGGATATGACTATGATGTTAAATTTTGGGATTTTGCTGGGATGGATGCCTCTCTCCAAGCTTTTCGGTCACTCCAGCCTTGTGAATGGTAGGCATGAAGACTGCTTTTTTCACCTAAGACTGCGCCTGTGTTAAGCACCTAGTAGAATGTACAAGAGCCTTGTAAGATAGCTTGCTCTTAAAAGGCTTTTGTATCCCATTGTACTTTTTGTGGTAAATGAAGTGTGAACCTGAGAACTTGTCCACTTGTCTCTTTTTATGCTTTTTCCAACAACTTGCATGTTTTCCCCTTTTAGAAAGCTACAGGTGAATTTGCAGATGGAATTGTTAATAACGTATCAGCAAATAGATTATGAACCTCTCAAAAAGACAAGTTGACTTTCATAGTTGAAATTAATAGAATACACTTTCCATATGTACTCTGCTTATATAAAATTAATGAAGAAGAGAAGAAAGTTAGAACAGTTGACCCCTTTGTGCAGAGCCTCTGTAGTTACTGCCAGAATATCTGAGTGTGAAGGTACATAATTTTCATTAGATTCTCTGTTTCTGGAAGCACTGGTCCTTTGCATTGCACTGATAAGTGAATAGCTACATAGTGTGCATTAAAAAAGTGTAAGTCTATTGGCTTTTTTTAAAGAAAGGACCTGTATATTTCTATATTTCTTTACATTTATCTATATATATATATGTAAATTTTAAAAATATGGGAAGCATTTTTTAGAGTGTGATTACCATGTTATCCATACTGTGCACTGGTAATTCAGAAAGTAAATTAACCGAGTCCATTTGCTTATTCCAGAGAACTGGAATATGGAATTCCTTCAAAAGGAGTGCACGTCTCATGCACAGCAAAGTTTCAGATAAACACATACATAAATTAATAGCACAATTCTAGCTTGGTACTTTTTAATGTCTAACTAATATGGTGCACTTTATAATATACTTTGATATGCTTAAAAAAAGAATTGAAATTTGTTATGTGCAGTAAGTAGTCCTTAGAATGTCCGTTTTTAATCATTATTGTCTTAAAAAGCTACGGATTAATTTTAGTCAGTTTGGAAGGTGAGAATGTCTATGACCAATTACAGATGTGCCAAGAATCTGGATAATGAAAGACAATAAAAAGTTGGGGCTGTTGGCCATAAAAGGAGCAAAGTAGAAAGAGATTCTACTGATGTTCTAAATTGTGAAAAATCAAGAAAATAAAAAGTGTGCTTTAGTTTGTTATGCAATTCTAATCTCTTTGACAGATTTATCTTGTTATCATAAACTGATGAATGGCACATTTAATTTGAAAACATAACTTAGTAAACATGCTACTTTGAAATAAATCAAATTTTCCAAATTCGTGGTCACATTCAGGCTTTCTGATGTGACTTTCATTTACATGATTGGTTAGCAGGATGCAAATGGTATTTTCTCTCCTGTCATAACTAAGCAGTAAGAAAGAGCTAACAGTCTTTACTCCCACAGCAGGAGATTATTTTATCTGAAGCATTTCCAAATTGAGCACAAGAGTGCATTTAAATTTAGTAGTATTTGGTAATAATGGTATAAGACATAAGTACAGTATAAAAACCACCAGTATGTGTACCTTAATGTCCCATTTCAAGGAAAACACCTTGCAAATACATTTATAATCTCTTTTTGGTAAAAACTGAGGGTAAAATAGGAGCTTAAAGTGCTTGTTATCCCTGACACTGTTCATTTAGTGTGTTGTAAGTATCTCAGAAATATTTCTCTATGAATGTTCTTGGTGAAATGTACCTTCTTGTGCTTTGAGTATGTTGAAGTATAAATTAATTTATCAGCCTAAAATAATAGCAAAAATAGAATTGACTGGTGAGAAGTTTAAGAATGTTGCTTGTGTTGAAAGTTGCATGTACTCTTTTTGGGTTTCAAAAAATATATTATTTAATTGCTCTTTTTATATCTTTTTTTATACATAAAACTGGAACTATAGCTCTGTCTGGTAAAAAGATCCAAACTGAAGAAAAAGTTATTTTATGCTGATACTGAGTCATGCTGGTGAACACTATGAGGAATATTATATAAGTTATGCCAAGGTGTATATATATTCTTATGTTATTTTTTTCACTATGGAATTTATTGCAAGGGCTATTAGCATTCACAGACCTTAATTTCGAAGAATTCTGGGGAGTTCTGGTATGGAAGCTTTAGGTGTTAGCAGAAATCCAGTTCTGGGGTCATAAATTTAATTTCATTTGAAGAATAAAAAGGCATAAGTACAATTCTATATTGACCAGGTTTCATTTTGTAGCATATTATCAGGTTACCCTGTTAATTTCTCCTTGGACTCGGGATGTAAGGAAAAAAAAAAAAAAATAAAGAGCCTTACAAAATAACTGGTATCTTCAAATCACACTTTGATGTTAGAGGTGAAGGCAAGGGTAAGGCAAAGCTGTGTTACGTGTGTAGAAATTATTTGTGTGTCACGATGCTACCCATGTATGTAGCTCTGTTCTACGAGGCCTGGCAGAAAGTACTGTGCAGATTTGGCAGCTTTACACCAAAATGACTTGGATTAATGCTGTTAAAGGGAACTGTTTTTGTAAGTTTCCCAAGACTTTTTTAATCATTAATAAGAACCAAAACTTTTTTCTCTAAGAACTGCCTCAGCATAGCCTCACTCTTGGTCATCCTCCAATAAACATCTGAAAAGCAGTAACTTCTGGGGCTTTGCTAATACTCTGCTTATAGAACCAATTTTTGTACATGATTTTAAAGGTTGTATTGCACAGTCACATAGGTGTTTTTATTTTCCTTTAGATAAAGATTGTGGAAATATTTTCGCTTAGACTAATTTTGTCATGTGACTGATTTGATTAATTATTAGTTATGTTCCCATTGTGCTAAGCACTGTAAAGTCAGGTGGTCTTACTTGTTAGAAGAAACTTTAAATATGCTGATGCAGAACTACAAAGCAGCAATGAGACAGTATTGGTCACATTATGAACAGTGCCATATTAACAGTATTAATGTTTGTAGTTTTAATTTCAGTACTTCAGTGTCTGAAAAACAGTTTTCTTGGAAGACTCTCTAGGCCTTTACATATTGTGGATTCTCTCAGAAATCGGATTTTACTTCTGGGCATATCTGGTGGCCGCATCCTCTTCATGCATGAGGCATGCATCAAGTAAAAAAAAAATCTTTTAGAGCAGTTTTTCTATGTTTATTTTCGTTTCTTACATTTTAATAATGAAAAGTGCAGAACGTTAATCTGTGCTTTGGAGATGCATTAGATATTTTATCTTGACAATTTTAGCGTTAGAATGTGAGCAATACAAGTAGATAAGTACTTCATTCTGCATGCCGTACTCAGGTGGGGCTCAGGAATTTGTACAGATACAGCAAGGGTGCTTGGAAGTACAACTGGGGAAAACTGCTTGTTGCTTTAAAGCTGAATCTGATGGATTCTTTAATCTAGGTTTATCAACTCTCTGCAGAGAATATTCTAGACTTCAGATACTGTTTCTGTTGTGCGTTTCTTTTTCATTTTTTTGGTGTTTCCGCTGAGCTTAATGTGGCTGGCTTTCTTTTCCCCTCTTCTGAACAAGTACACATTTTTGCTCTTGAGGCTCAGGATGCTTTTTCAGGTATCAGCTGTGATCTGTTTTGGAAATTCCCAGATTTGAGTGTCTCCTTTCTACTGAAAATCAGAGTTTATAATACTCTGGCCAATTTGGCTGCCAGTTTGTATTACATAATAAGGTGCTTGAAGCAGTTTTGCTTTTGAATCATAATGTAATCAGTTTTGCCAAACATTTTTTGAATGAGAAGCTTATGCTTAGTTTACTACTAACCACTACGATCAATGCAGAGCTTTTTAAAAAAACTTATTACAATGTTTTATGTGTTTTGTGTAGTAATGCCCAGTTTGAGGACAGATTTGACTGATAATAGCTACTGCTGAGTCAGTCATGAAGTCACTACCATATAAGACATGAAATGGTAAATTATTAAGTTACAAGTTGCATAGTCAATTTTGTTGATCATCTGAGTGTTAATTTTACTCATGTGAAATTGTGTTAAAAAGTAGTTTCCTTCAAGTTACTAGGATTCAAAAGCATGTGGTTATGTTCTTCGCCAAAAGGAAGATACTCCTTTGAGGATAGTTTGAATGCGAGGGGAATCAAAATCTAGCTGGCAAATGTGTTCCAGTCCTTAATTTGGGGTTAATTTAGCTGCAGAGCTGAAGCTTTAATATAAAATAATGTCATTGTGCATGTTTTGTTAATGTTTCAGGATATAAATTCTAGTAGGTGTGGAGTGGATGGAGTGCTTTGCATTATTTGCCATCCTTGTAATGGAGCATAGCGGGGTAGGGGATCAAAGGGCATCTGCTTCAGATACAGCAACTACAGTGAACTTTGTTCATGAAGCAGAATGCTGAGATAAGATGCTGAAGCTGGAAATGGACTTCTCGCTCATCAGCCTTCTTCCCCCTTTCAGTTAATAGTTTTTGTTGTCTTAGTGTTATTCCATGATTTCTATCCCAGGTTTTCTCAATCAATGGAAGAAATATGTCAGAAAACCTTTACAGCAAATGGGCTATCATCTAAGACACAGTAGACTAGGCAAACTGTTACCAGCTGTCATGTTTCTAGGGTTGCTGGTATATTTATCTATGATTCTGGTGAAACTGTAGCCCTGAAAATAGAAAAAGGTGCAAGAATGCTAGCGTATGACTAATTTCCTGGTGTACAATGTACAGTGGAGTTTTATGTAGAACTACAACATCCTTTTATAGTAATTTATAGATTACTGTAAATGCACATGTTGCTTTTGAGAAGATGAAAAAGAATTTTCAGTCCTGAAGAAGTGAATCTGACACGTACTGTTTTTTCACTTGGAGTTATAAGAGCGTTCTTAAATACGCTTGCCAGAAATGACATTTTAGGTGCCAATTTTGTAAATAATATTGTTTGATGTGCTGTGTGATTGCAGAAGATGATGTGACATACATACACACAGAGGAGTAAAAAGCTTTAATCCATTAATCTTTTTTTTTTTTTTTTTCTTCTACCTTTTGGTATAGGAATCTACATGGGCCTATTTCTGCAATACAGTTTCTCACCATTGACACTTTTGTTTTAGTGTAGGCTTACAGGAACTGAAGTTAATGGAAACATTTTCTTTCTTTTTCTTTTCTTCTTTTTAGTCACCAAATCAAATCTTTACAGTATAGCAGCACAGGAGATGTTATTCTTGTTGTCTCTGGTAACTCTCAGGCAAAAGTTCTCGACAGAGATGGCTTCCCAGTAATGGAATGCATAAAAGGAGACCAATACATTGTGGATATGACAAACACAAAGGTAAAATCGGAAATAATTTGAATGTCAGAGGACTGAAAATATAATGTATTTTTGCTCTTAACAAGAAACCTCATGAAGTTCAGTGAGGAAGAATGTAAGGCTCTATCTCTGGGATGTGATAGTACTATGTATTGATACACGCTGGAAGTTGTGGGAGCTTCATCCGTGGAAGTTTTCAAGACCAACTAGACAAAGCCATGGCTGGCCTGATCTGGTGTCAACTATAGTCTGTCTTTGAGCAGGAGACTGACCTAGATGAACTCAAGAGATGTCTTCCAATTAATGGTTCTATGATGCTACAACAAATTCATCTATTTAAAAGTGTGTCTCGTAAAAATGGTCAGCTTCACCCTTACCCTTGTCCAACCAACCAAAAAAAAAAAAAATTAGAAACTATTGATCTGATCTAATCTCTTGCTTTTTGTCTAACCTCCGTTCTTTTGCTGGTACAATTTACCTGTTTCAAGACAGGGTTTGGAGGTGGTTATTATTGTTACTTGCATTCCGTGAGTGTAAAACTAAGCAACAGTGGTGCATTTTTAATGGTAGTTTAAAATGCAAATGGAGAAGAGCTGAGTCATAATTTTGAATTATTTCAACATCAGTTGCTTGGGTTTTCACCACTTTGCTTTCATATTTCCACAAACTAATTAGACAAAGATTCTCTTTACATAGATGATTTAAATTCAGGTTGGTTTTTTAAGTAGCTTAAGCCTAAAAAGTTATGATAAAATCTACTGCTCAAACTGATGATAAAGTTGATTTATTTATTGCTTAGTAACTACACGAAATGCTGTTTTGCCTAAAGCTGTTCTTGTCATATGACTATTTTTTTGGCTAGTGATATGTATATAAAACCATCAAATAGTAACATCTGCTTTAGTTCTTGTTTACTTAAAAATAATTCAGATTTTCTTTCTCTTGTAAACTTCTGGAATTCCAGTGTATTGTGGTCCAACAGTCAAAATGCTAAAATATTTGTTATATTGCCCCATTAACTTTTCAGTATTTCTCTCCATATTTGTGCTTAAAGCAAACTGAAGTAATTCCAGCATTGCAGGAGTAGTTTCTGAATGTAGTCAATAAGCATGTGCCTGTACTTCAAAGAGGTAAAGCTGACTGGACAAAGATCTTTTATATTCATGGTCACCATAATGGTAATTGCTTACTTTGAGTAAAAATCTTACCTTCTATTTTCTCCATCCTAAGGAGACAGGGCTGACTACTCAATTTGCAACTTCTAATCTTTTATGAGAAACTCACCTGAGGTTAAATACATGTTGACTCTCAAATTCTATTTCCTCAATTTTCACCAGCAAGGTCTTCAGCTAGTGTAGTTTGGCATTGAGTATGTGTGTTGTGTCACCCTGGTAATTCTTGTTATTCCTGGTTTTTTTTATGTAGCTTGGGACAATTTGTGTGACACTATATTGATGCCTATAATTTCATCCTTTCTCTGCATTACAGTTCTCCCAAGAGAAAAAGAGGAAGTATGATTCCAAGCCATTTTCTGAAAGAAAAAAATATAAACAGAAGAATGGCAGGGTTTTTATAATTAAAAAATGAAAATAAGCATGGATGGCTTAGAGTACATAAAATCTGTTAAATCATTGTTGTCAGTTGGCCACTTCTGCTGTGGTCAGAAAGATCTGATTCAGTCCTCAGCTTTCATTGACTTAAAGGATTTGGAGTAAATTGTGTAAAACCATGTAAGACATTTTACAAAACCTTGTAAGACCTCTTTGTGTTTATTTCTTTAGGGTCATACAGCAATGCTCAATTCAGGCTGTTGGCATCCAAAAATAAAGGAAGAATTTTTGACATGTTCTAATGATGGGTGAGTATTGTGGTCTATCTTTGTCAGGGTTTTTTGAGAGGCTTGTTTGGCTTTTGTGTTTTAATATTGTACCTTAATTTGCTTTAAGTATCGTCCTTTTAAATCTTGAGCCAGCGCTCAAGACAATGTTAGATGAGATCTGGAAGCAAAAATTTTACTTGTTTTGACTCTAGATAATGAATGGATTTTGTCTGTATTATTTTAGTTTTGTAATTTAAAATTATTTTTAATTATGTTTCATGAAAATTGTTGGTTGAATATGGTTTTACAAAGATTTTTGGGCAGCATTGAAGTTTGCCCAGTGTATCTTTAGAGTAGAATGATTTCTATATGGGCACTCAAATGTAACTGAATTTGCTAGGAAGACAGAGTATTTCAATTGCAAGTTGCCAGTTTTGTGTTAACCGTAATTGAATATTGATGAATGTTGTTTGACAAGTGTCAAAGAGACTCTTAAAAATTTTGTGGCTTCAGTCTTGATCTTTGTGGTTAGAATCAAACTGCAAAATGTCACTATGGCAATTACATTGATTAATAAAACTTACTGCAGCTGTCAGTAACAAGATCATGAATGGTTTTGAACTGATGTTTCAAATATGCGATGTCTTTACTCCCAAGTCACAGGGAGTGAAAAGACTGAATCGCCCCACTAGTGAATGTGTAGTGTGGTCCAACATAAACAGAAGATTCCAATTATCAATTACTTTAAACTACGTGGCAGTTTTTTAGCAAAAGGGATTGACTTACTGGTTTAACGCAGAGGGATACGAATAAATGATTTTTTAATAGGAAAATTCACAACTTCTGATAGGTCTGTGACATGAAGAAAAAAAACTTGAATACAACAATGTGCTTTATGGAGCAATTCAGTTGTAAAAATACATACAAGTCAAGCCAACTATGTATTTTTTTCCAGCATGTAGACACAAAAGTTTTACTTCCATAATAGAAATATTTATTAAATGGTAGAATAGATACTTTAAAAAGTTTGCTCTTTTGAATACAGTTAGACATTAGTACAGCTTGTTAAGTATGTTGAATAGTTTGCAGATAGTGAAAAACAATTTGAGTTATTATAAATTATGAAGATTGTCTGATTTTGCCTTATCTAAGCAAGGGCCTGACTAATATATGAAATATGGATTTGGTGCATACCTGATGCTTGAATTGCTGTGAATTGAAATGGTCTGGTCAAGTAAGTAAAATCCAGATAAACCCTACTATAAATGACTGCATAATTGCATTTTCAGAGACACTACATGGCTGACATTACAGGAAAAGTATTTTAAACCCATTTCATTTTGTTTCATGCTAGTGACAGGTCTTTCCAGGACTTGGACACGTCATGTGAAAAGAAACAATTTCCATTGCCTAATTTGCAACATAAGACTTAAATGTTAAAGATGGTATTCCAGCTGTGAAATTCAATAACAGAAACTGTAAAGTCTCCAAAGTTTAATCAGTAATTTGTCTCGAGACTGGAGCTGTAAACTAGAATAGAATGGAATAGTTCCAGTTGGAAGGACCTACAATGAACATCTAGTCCAATTGCCTGACCACTTCAGGCATGTTATTAAGGGCATTGTCCAAATGCCTCTTAAACACTGACAGGCTTGGGGCATCGACCACCTCTCTAGGAAGCCTGTTCCAGAGTTTGTCTACCCTCCTGGTAAATGAATATTTCTTAATGTCCAGTCTAAACATCCCCTGGTGCAGCTTTGAACTGTTCCCGTATGTCTTATCATTGGATACCAGGAAGAAGAGCTCAGCACCTCCCTCTCTACATCCCCTCCTCAGGAAGCTGTAGAGAGCCATGAGGTCACCCCTCAGCCTCCTTTTCTCCAAACTAGACAAGTCCAAAGTCCTCAGCTGCTCCTCACAGGACACATCTTCCAGCCCTTTCACCAGCTTTGTTGCCTTCCTCTGGACATATTAAAGGACTTTCACATTGTAGAATCATATAATGGCTTGGTTTGGAAGGGACCTTTAAAGGTCATCTAGGCCAAGCCCCCTACAGTGACCAGGAACATCTTCAATTAGATCATGTTGCTCAGAGTCCTGTCCAACCTGACCCTGAATGTTTCCAAGGATGGGCATACCACCTCTCTGTGCAATCTGTCCCAGTGTTTTACCACCCTCACTGAAAAATTATCTTCCTTATATCTAGGCTGCATCTACCCTCTTTTAGTTTCAACCATTACCCCTTGTCTTAGTGCATCCTTCTTAAATGGTGGGGCCCAGAGCTGCACACGGTGCTCAAGGTGAGGCCACACCAGCGCTGAATACAGCGGGACAGTTGCCTCTTTTGACCGGCTGGTTATGCCGTGTTTGATGCCCCCAGGATGTGGTTTGCCCCCTTGGCTGCCAGGGCAACTGCTGGCTCCTGTTGAGTCTGCTGAACTGAGAAAGTAGGAGTCTAAGTAGGGAAGGTCATCTGGTTATGCCAATGCCCAATAAACTTGGGAAACTTAATTAGTTCAAAGAGATAAATACAAATGTTGTTTTCATTAATTCTGTTGTATAAAGGTTTGTTAGCAAGTAGCACACTGTTGAAAATGTATATGTCATTAGTAAATGACAGCAGTTGTTGGTATTATACAGTATGGGGGTGAATTTCTGACTTCTTTTTGGGGAGTGGGTCTTGCCATTGCTTTTATAATGTTGACAAATGCGCAAATGGAAATGTGCCTCTAAATAAATGAAGATACTGTCTAGTGATTTTTGAAAGAGGAAAAAAACTGCTGTAAGATTGCTTTATTATGATAATTTCGGAAAGTATTACTTATTGTTACTATTTGCTTAGCAAAGTAACATTAGAATCCTTAGGTTTCAGAGCAGAGATCTTTAAAGCTAAAAGAAGAAATGCGTTGTGCCAGTGAGTGATAATTGAGAACAGTTACCGATTTGGGTTTAAAGGAAACACGTTTTCTGAATTTCAAGTAGAAGCCATTTAAAAATTCAGCTTATACCAAGCATTCCAGAAACCAGAAATTTTATGTTTTGTACTGATTATTCTTCACCTTGCATAGAATGTGTTTATGAATATGATTAAATGTTACAACTATCTATTATCTATCTGCCTGACTATTTTTTACATTTAATCCAGTATTTACACCTGACCCTTATATGTTTCAGAACTATATTTCATTGATTTCTGAGGATGGCTGTTTTGTTTGAGTCAACAGAGTTGCAATTAATGAAATGCTTGTAGAAATATGAAACTGTTGAAGAGTTTATGTGTAAACTTGGTTTATGTTACATGCAAAGCAAACAAAGCAACTATAACAGAACTTTAACTTAAGAGATGATAACCTTATTGGGTCAAATCAAAAGACTGGCAGTCTTTAGAGAGAAGAAATCTAAATGGGGATAGGATGTGATCAAAGTTAGCAAAATGCTGAAGATGGTAGATGAGCTGAATGTGGACCTGTTCACCAAATCCTCTTCACAAAGAGATGTTTGTTAAAAGTGGATAGGGTTAAGTTTAAAAATAATAAAATAAAATACTACTTTTTGAATACTGCCCAAGTATGTTCTGGAATGTATTGTCACAGGACGTTATGGAGGCAGGTTTAAAAAGGGATGAGAAAAATTCATGTTTAGAGGAGCTCATAAACAGATAGGAAATGCAGTAGATGTTATAACATCTCTTAGAAAACAATTGTGGTTAGTGAGGGGGAGTAAAGGGAATAAATTATAGTGACAAGACATAGTCAAGATTATTATTGCTGTGATCAAAGACTGAATATAGGGCTAAGTGAATCTATGGTCAGATTTAGTTGGATGTTTCTTATATTTTTATGTGTTCTTCAATGACAATAATTAAGATTAAATTTCGTGTCATACTACTGTTGCAAATGTAGTGCGTGGATTGTTGTCAGGATATAATGCTTTTGCAGTGGTTTTGTGTCTTAGAGTTGGTGTGATTTTCATGCAAACAGGTTAACTGTTGGTAAAGTCTTCTCCCTTGAGGAAGATGTTGAGATAAAGCCCAATGTATCTTTATGTGGCTTTGCCACATAAAGAGTTCAGATAAGAATGTTTCATCTAGTTGGGGAAAAAAAAAAAGTGTCTCAGTCCTGAATCAGTCTTTCTACAGGGCAAGAGACCTCCCTGTATACAATTTAAAATTTGTTCTAGACATCGATGTAAGATCAAATTACTTGAATTATGGTGACTGCTCATGAACATTTAATAGGGAATGTGGTGCTATCTATCTGCATCTCTAAATGTTGAGATTTAATTGGAAAAGGAACTGCCACAACTGGCATGTGTGGAGAAGGACACCTAACACTGAACACCAAAATGGGGGCCTTTGGAGGGTCAGTCCTGTGGGAATGGATGTAGGAGAATGAAACCAGTGTTGCCTTTAATAGACATGAAGGAGCGTCGAACAGCTTCCAGATATGCTGTTTGTAGTCTCTGTTGGACATCACACAGAACAATAAGGCAAGGCAGTATCAGCTCTGTGAGACTTCTCCACTCATGTGATCAGTATTTCTTTGAGGAGAGCTTTTGTGTACTCCCAACCTGGTTGCCAGAACCAACATCTGTTTTTAAAGATACTTTCAAGAAAAGGTGTAATCTAGTGAAAGTAACAGTTTAAGCATGTGTGTCATGCTCCTGAGGTGTACTGAATGGCAGCAGTGTCATGAGTTTGAAGAAGAGGACACAGAGGAGCACCTGAGGGGTGTTAATGTACTGTTATACCCTAATCTGTATATTCTGTACTACTGGATAACATTTGCACCACCTCTAGAGAAAGCAGTCATTAATAAACTGATAGAACCAATTATGAATTGGAGAGAATATTTTATCTGACTACTGTAGTATTTGCATTATCTGTCTCTTTAGTTGGATGGTTGTCAGTTGTGTAAAGTTTAAAAACAAAGTAAGGAAAGAAGGTTGTGTTTTCTGGTTGGTATGTTGAAAGCAGGAATTTTCCTGATGCATAAACAAGTTAAAAAGGAAACTTTGCAAGTAAGCTTGTGGAGTCAAAG